AAGATGAATAAATGTTGTACAATGAAAGAGTTTTGGTGGTAGATTCTGCACAATAGGTGACTCTATGGCTTCATTAAGAACGCTTAATGGAGTCTGAAACTATAAGGTACTTAAGGGTAGTCGGTTGATGAGATATGTTGCTGCTATAATGGCTTCACCCCAGTATCTAATTAGCATATAAGCTTTAAATAAGGAAGCCCGAACAATGTATATAATCAATTTATAGCATTTAAGCTTTGTGTGCCCAGTTTCACCATAATAAGTGAAAATGTATTTTGATTTGGCCTTTTCAATCTCATAACTATTATTCTGAGGTCCTGATGTCTAAATAATAGGTCTTGTATTGATTCATCGATATGTTTCAGGCTTGGCTCATCGTGCTATCATCGTAGATGATTCAACATAATTAGTTTCATTGTTTAGAGTGATTCTGCAAACAACATCATGACATATGTATGCATAAGCTTCTTCAAGATCTAATATTGGATCTTTTCTGAGAATCTCTCTTTGGATTTGTTCAAATTCAGCATCCAATCCATTCAATAAAATATGTACCTGTAATCTTTCAACAAAGTTTCTATAGGTAATGACATCATCAGGATCTTTCATTACAATTTTATCACGATGATCAAGTTCTTGAAAGATTTCCACAAGATCACCATAGTATATTGATAATGGGCACTCCATCTATTTCAAGGAGAGGGCTTTCTGATTTAATGAGTCAAGTTGTGATTCATCTTATCCATTATAAAAAGCTTTGGATAAAGCATTCCAGATTTCATATGCAATGCATAATCGGATGTATTGCTTCATTATGTCTGGTGACATAGACCTTAACAGTCATCCCTTAACCTTTTGATTTTTGGCATACCATTTTGCATAAAAGGCATCTATATCTTGAGAGGGCTTGTGTTTTTCCCATAATATATTCAAGTTTCTCTCTTCTTGTAATTTGTATCTCCATAATCTGCGACCATACATTGTAGTTAACTTTAGTAAAAATAACATTGGGTGTGAATCCAGGGTTTTCAGTTTGCATGTGAATAATAGGTGTGGCTTATGTTTTGTTATTCATCATGATAAAAGATTTCAAGAATGAGAGAAAGACTATTTCTGTGATGAAGAAATATATATATATATGGAATTACCTCCTGGATGTATTTTGCAAACCCAAGAAAGCACACAGGTATGCAGATTAAGAAAATCCCTATATGTGTTGAAGCAATCTCCTAGAGCATGGTTTGGAAGGTTCATCAAATTTATGAAATCTATTGGATACAAGCAAAGCAATTCGAAAGTATGTTGATAAAAGGCAATAAAAGGGCAATCACAACTCTCATTATATATGTTGATAATATACTAAAAATAATCCTGAGAAAAAGGAAGCATTAGAGAATCATCTTGCTCAGGAATTTGAAATGAAGTCTCTTGGCCATTTAAAATACTTCCTTGGTATTGAAGTATTAAGATCGAAAGAAGAAATATTTCTATCTCAATGAAAGTATGCTTTAGATTTATTGAAAGAAACAGGTATGACAGCATATAGCCCAGTTAGTACTCCTATAGAAGAAAATCTAAAACTGAGTATACATTCACAACAAATCCATACTAATAAAGAGAGATATTAGAGACTGTTGGGGAGGTTAATGTATCTTGCACATACCAGACCTAACTTGGCTTACATTCTAAATGTGATCAACCAGTTCATGCATTCTCCAAGCGAAGAACATATAAAGGTTGTTATACTCGTATCTTGCGGTACCTGAAATCATCTCCAGGAAAATGAATTTTGTTTAAGAAGGGAGAAAGACTATGAAATAGAGGAAGGTATGAAACACATAAAGATTATAGAATTCAATATCAAGAATATGGTATCAAGAAGGATGGGAAGGGGTCAAGAAGGATGGGAGGGGATCAAGAAGGACAGAAGTTTGATAGCGGATGAAGAATACAAAGGTTTTAAGAGACAAATGAAGAAGATGAAAAAGGAAGATTCCGTTATTGATGAGAAAGAAAGAATTCAGTAGTGTTTAAGGGATACTAATCTCTGATACTGATTAGTACTTAAAAGTGCATTTTTATTAAGGTTTTATATCATCATTTTGCACTTGAAGTATCAATAACTCCTTAACTAAAGCATGTTTTATAGTAACATATCTAATAATATAAGATACCTTTAATTTATGGTAAATGTTTATTTTAAATGCAGGCCTATCACATAAATGTAAGGATTGATTAATGAATTTAAGAACTAAAATTGAAAGGACAAAGAGATGGCTAAACTCCGAAAAGAGATGCCGGTGCAGTCCAAACCGGAACACTGTTCGGTAATTGGATCATATCTAGAGCTATAGATCTCAGATTTAGGTCTACTTTATATGGATGGAAAGGTAAGACATAGGCCTACAACTTTCATAGGAGCTCAAGATCTAAAAAGGTTATTTTCAAGTCCAAATTGTTGCAACAACAAAGAAGCCCGAATCTGTCCTCCAGCCCGAGCATTGTTTAGTATTTTGGTCATATCTAAAGTTCTAGAAGTCAAAATGAGCTGAATTGTTTACACAAGAAAGTTGAGATAATTTCCTACAACTTTCATGTTTTTAAATGACTTCAATTTGGACGTTATCAATGACGTTTTGGGCAAACAAGAGAAGATAAGGATTGTCACCAAGTCAAGAGTTGGTCACCCACTCATCAATTAGTCATCAAATCAATAGTTCCCAATTTTGGCCTATAAAAGGAGGCATTTGCCATGCATTTAGGCATCTTGGTTTTCATATCAAGATCATGCTCTTGCTTTCTCTCTTTGTATTTTTTGTAATGTTTATGCTTTGCTTTCATTAATATCAAGTTTATGCCTTTCATTTCCTTTCATTTACTTAGTTAACTTTTATCTTATTTATATTCTTATTTTGTTTATTTATTTTTCTTTCTTTCATTATGTGTAGCTAAGTTTATTATGTCAAGGTGAAAAAGGTTACACCAATGGTGTAAAAATAAGTATAGTATAAACTTAATATGGACTTTAATGTTTGATACTAACATGTTTTGTATTTGTTATCTTGTTTATTCTTTAATACTTTGTTTGTTAAATGATTAATCTTGATTTATGTTGTATAACACTTGGTACAACAAATGCTTGGCACTTTCATAGCCCATACTGTATGGTATAACCGACACCTGAGCTATGAAAGGAACTTGATTTGTTGTTAACATAAGTTATAATCATGAATGCTTGACGAGATTTACAAGTATTAGCATTAATCGAAATGAATACTTGACGAGATTTATAAGTATTAGCATTAATCGAATAAGATGACTAATGTAATCATGTTAACAATCTATAATCTTATTGGAATCTCCTTTGTGTGTGGTTTTAAATTGAATAATAAGAGTTTATACTATACTTATTTGCCCTACCATTAGTGGATCCTCTAACCTTGACATTTGTTATTATCATTGTTTAATTGTTACATTAATATTTCATCTCAAAGTTCTCATCTTCTTCTTCTTCTTCTCCTTCTTTTTTTATTATTATTATTATTATTGCTATTGTTGTTGTTTATAATTTATACAATTAACCTCCCTGTGGTTCGACCCCGGTCTTGCCGGGTTATTTATTACTTCGATACTCCTGCACTTGGGAGAAGACATCAATCTTTTAGTCGTGTCAGATATCGTGATAAATTCAGTGTTTTCTTAATTCACTAGATTCAATCTTGTTTCTGTTACAATGCTTGCCTCTACATATATAGCAAATCAGTTTATTTACATAAGAATTTTATTAATTAATCTATCCATTAACCTTACAGATGGATTCTTATTATTACGGATGACTTCTAACATACCAATACTAGTTGATTCTAAATTACAACAACTAGGAAGAAATATATATAGAATACAGTAGGCTTGAATATCTTGAATCTTCAACGGACAAGAATGCCGTATCTGAAACACTGAGAGAAGCAAGCAAACAAAGATTATTAAATGCTTTGAAGCTAGCTGACCACACCGTTGGAAACATAAAAGCAGACCATTCCCTTGGAGGTTCGCATGATGTCTGTTGTTTGAGGGGGAGAAAGAGGAAAATCATGGTAGACTTTAATTTACTCACTCTCCTTTGCAGCGATGAAGGCACAACAGCCTCCTTCCTTGAAAATGAGTGCTTTAAGTACGGGAATAGTGGGAAAACGTTCTGCTATTCTCAAGTGGCAAGTGCAGTAAGGTGGCTATTAACTGCAACTGCTTGTGGAATTTGACTAGGAGTATGGAAACAAGAGAATATTGCATTTGGGGTTGATAGAAAATGCTAGATATTGGACTTTAAGTGAATAGGGTTTCACCAATGCGTGGTATTAGTTTCGTGTTTCTTTTTCTATACAATTCTTCGAAAGATTCAAGAGTTTTAATCATAGAATATATATTTATGTATGTATGTGTATACTTTCATGATACGGGAGCATATGTATCTTTATCTACTGACTGATTTTAAGCTTTAGGAACTCGGTCTCCTACTCCCTCCTCGTCTGTGGTATATTAAGGTGGCGGAGCTTTAATTTGCTCTGTTTTTGTGGTGGGTTAAGTACATATCACTAATTTATTTTTTTTATGTTTTAAAAATATTTTAAAAAAATTTAAATTTTTTTATTTTTTATTTATTTTAAATTAATATATTTTTAGTATTTTCAAATCATTTTAATATGTTATATTAAAAATAATTTTAAAAAAAAATTAATATATATTTTAATAAAAAAAATATTTAAAAAAAAACTATAATCGCACTGTAAACCAAGCTATAGCCTAATTAGTGTCTTCAGATGTTCATGCACATTCTCTTGAGAAAGTGGTTGAAAGAATAAAAAGATAACGCTTCGCCGTGGAATATCTGTTCTGTTTGGTCCACATCCACTGAAAGGCCAGAGGACATGCCCCATTCAATACTTAATTCCCACATGAACATCATGCCCTAGAACCCGCCTATCTTAAGATATTAATGATAATTTAACAAGAAAAAGTTCTTTTATTGATATTAAATTTCAAGAAAATAACATACAAAATCTACAAACTTAACACCGTAATTGTGATGTTTAAGTCTAAAGGGAAAAAAGAATGCCTTTCAAAGATGTTCCCTCAAGTAAACCTTACCTAGTAAAAAGAATTTTGTCAGTGTTTCTAGGAACTAAAACAATCCAGAATTACCGACCAAAAAATAAGTTTCTTTAGAAATTCCATAGAAACGAATCTTGTTCTAGGACATCAAGATTGGTCTCCTCTCCATAATCAAGATTAGGAATTAATGATGGTGGGAAAAAATCATTGTAAAGATCATCAAAGCCCTGAAATATCCCGTATTCCGTGGAGTGACTACACGAACCCGTATTCATTAACATATCCAAAAACGGCCCATCCCACATCAATTCACCACCTTCCATCTGGACAGTCCCATCAGATGCAACAGAAGGACAGGGAGATTCTGCTCGGGATTCGGATACAGATACGGATTGATCTGTTTCAAACCGGTCCGGTCGGCTTCTCTGAGGCTCCGAATTGGCAAACCTTGCTGCAGCTTCTTGAATCTCAGCTGGAGAAAGTGACCTGCCACCCGCTATGTTTGGAGGGTTCTCTGGAAAATTAAATTTCGCAACTCGACCCCGTAAGCAAAAGAGGGCCGCATCGAAGGCTCGTGCGGCCTTTTCTGCAGAATCATACGACCCTAACCAAATTCTATCCCGGCTATTCGGTAGCCTGATTTCTGACACCCACTTACCCCATTTTCTTTTCCTAACACCCTTGAATTTTGAGTCGCTTCTCTCTGCAACTGACTTCTCGACGCTGTGCTTCACCATTTATGGTTTTAGTTTGTATGCATGTAGTGATTTGTTTTCCTCTTTGTTGATCTTAGAAGAGGATGTGCTCTCTGCTTTTGTGGTTGTGTTTGTTGTGGAGGGAATCTGCGGCTCTCTGGTTTATATATGTGCGCCTGATGGCTGATGGCTGAGGGCCGATGGCAGTAAGGTATGACAGTAAAGGGTCAAAAAGGATGAGGCGCGTTGAAAACAAAAGCAGAAAAAATTAGTGAGTCTGACACGTGGAGGATGAGTAAGTTAGCGTCTTAACGCGGGGCTTTGAAAGCACGTGTGGCTTTTATTTCTCGTGGTTCAAATTATCTAAAATAAAAATAAAATACTCAAAATCCAGAGAGGGTGTTACTAAAGGACAAAGCTTTACATCCATCGCCTCTTCTGTACTTATCAGCTCTATGCTTGGGGTCAGGCCACTGTTTGTCCCTTGTGACGTGGAAACTCGTCCCCCTTCTTCGATCTATTAATTGATTTCGCAATTGTTTTTACAATCGAGGACATTATTACTCTTTTCAAGAAATAAAAAATCCTTACTACCTTCAGTTACACAAAGATTATACAGTCGTTACACAGATTATATAGTCGGTAATTTTAAACTTTATAAAATTAATTAAGATATATATATATATATAGGTTGGCTTAAATACTTACATTATTAAAAAAATTATTTGCTACATTCCATTAAATGAAGTTAATGTGACATAAATTTAATTCCTTTGTAGTTTCATCAAATTGTTAATGCATAGATTTATATTCGTGGTTGAAGCCTCAATTTTTTAGAGGAATTATTACTATACACATGCTTTCAAGTCCCAAACTACTGAAATGAGACTTGTCAGGACGCCAAAATTCAAAGATGGAAGCTCCATTGTTGCTTCTTTAGTCGAGCAATGATCAAGTCACGGAGAACGTAATATGGCAAGAAATCCATGCGTCATGGCTATAACGCCAAGCAATGCGTAAGCCAAGTCTAACGCGCATGCCCAGCTCGCGCAATGCGTCATGGATGAGCTCTTTGAGGGTCAAACCATGATGCTACTTAGAAATGCTCTTGGGAGCTGTAATAACTCGACGCTCAGGGATTATTATAACCTTTCAAATTCCCATCCAACTAGCCAGCTAGTAGTATAGCTATGCCGTTGACAATAAGATAAAAAAACAAAAGGGCCCATCAATTTGGAATCAGGCTAGACTATTGATTGTCAAGTGAATAGTCTAGCAATGCTTTTATGATTTAATTACCTGCTAACAAATTAGTTTTTAATACAAAAGAAATTAAGAGGTGTTAGTGTTATAGGTGCTTCTTCTTTTTTATCATAAAATTGTTAGTTGAAGAATGTAAAGTTGATGTATGTATATCCTGAACACAATTGATTAAAAAAATATATTGATTGATAAATTAAAAACAAATATTGAAAACTAGTTAAAAACTTAAACAGGGAGTTTATTTTCCATGTAAAAAAAGTAAAAAGAAATAAAATAAAAATATCTTATCTTATCTCATTTATACACTTTTTTATATTTGTCTTGGAAAAATATAAATATCTTATCTTATCTCAACTGTTTTTTATACACTTTTTTATATTTGTCTTGGATATTTAATCTAGTAGCTAAGCATACATGATTATCAGTCTTATAAATGCATAATGTAAATGCAATTTATTTATATTAAATTTATTTGAAAAAATAATTTAAATATAAATTACAATAATCACTTCCATAAAATTATCTAATAACAACAAAATTAATGATGAAATATTTTTTTATGGATAGTGTCTATAACAATAGTGATTGAAATAATTAGTCAAATATTACCAAATATTACCAATAACATTAACGATTGAAATATATTATGTCACTTCTACAAATATTTTACCGATAACATTTGTGGTTTACCATTGTACATTATCGCATTGAAAAATCAAACTCTTTTAATATATAATAATAATAATACTAATAATAATAATAATAATTGCACTAGTTTATTTGGTAAATACAAATGGAAAAGTTATCAAAAATAACCTTTAAAGTTATTTTAAAATTTCCATATAATATCTAAGATCATTTTTAACTTTTATCCATGTAGATGGTATTAATTTAAATATATAACTAATTAAGAAGATTAAATATATGATACAGAGTCAAATATAAAAAATGACATGCTATATAATGATTTTTTATTATTATTACGAGATGACATGTTCGCACACTGCTGCGGGCTTATAAAATAAATACATTTAATAGTATTATAATTGTAAATTAACACTAGATAAGTAATAGAAACTAAAGATATAATGGAGCAAATATTTCATAATAGAAAAAAAAATTTAGCTATTCTATTAATAAAAAGCAAATATAATTACAAAATTAAATTCTCTAGCAACTTAATATTAAAAAAAAACTAACAAAGATAATTTTAGAAGGGAAAAAACCCATAAGGAAAAACGTTGTAGCAATTGACAATGTTTTATGAAGAAAAATATAGTACTTTTCTCAATAAAATAAAATAAAATAAATAATTTAGAGAAATACTATAGTAATTCACAGTGTTTTGTAAGAAAAACTACATTACTTTTCCCATATAGTAATCAACTCAATATTAAAAAAAATCGACAAAGATAATTTTGAAAAAAATTATATAAAAAAAATCATATGGAAAAATACTACAACAATTCACGGTGTTTTAAAGAAAAAAATTATAAATCTAAATTGTTAATCAACTCAATATTAAAAAAATTCGACAGAGATAATTTTAGAAAAAATAAAAAACACAAAAAAATCATGTTGGAAACACTATAATAATTCATAGTGTTTTGTAATGAAAGCTACAGTACTTCCCCACACGATTTAGCTTTAGTTGTAATGACTTGTAATTGTAATTCTCAAATAATTAAATATTATAAAAATAAAATTAACAAAGATAATTTTAAAAAAATTATAAGAAAAAACCTTATGGAAAGATATTGTAACAATTCATAATATTTTATGAAGAAAGCTATAGTGCTTTTCCCACATGATTAAGTTTTATTACAAAGTTAAATTCTAACAAACTCAATATTAAAAAAAAAATCAATGAAGATAATTTAAAAAAAATATTACAAAAAATAAAAACAGAAAAGAAATTGAGAAAAAACCATGTGAGAAAAAATTGCATCAATCCACGGTGTTTTGTGAGGAAAAACTTGTAATTTCAATTCTTAACTAGCTTAATATTTAAAAAATAAAATTGACAAAGATAATTTTAGAAAAAAACATAACAAAACAGAAAAAAAATCATGTGGGAAAAAACACTATAACAATCCACAATAATTTGCAAGGAAAGTTACAATGGTTTCCTCATATATTGTAACTATAATTTTTAACGAGCTCAATATTAAAAAATAAAATAAAAAAGATAATTTTGAAGAAAATCATAAAAAACAAAAAAAAAAGCCATACAGAGAAACATTGTAGCAATCAACAATATTTTAAAAAAAATTACAAAACTAAATTTTCAATCAACTCAATTTAAAAAAATGACAAATATAATTTTCAAAAATAAAAAATAAAATAGAAAAAATATATGGGAAAATACCGTAGAAATCCACAGTATTTTAAAGAAAAAAAGTACAAAGTAAAATTTTTAACCAGTTCAATATTTAAAAAATAAAATCAACAAAATTAACTTTTTTAAAAAAGAGAAAAAATAATAAAAAAACAGAGAAAAGTCAGAAAAAAAGTAATTTTAAAAAAAACAACAAAAAAAGAGAAAAATTAGGAAAAAAAAGAAAAGAAATTCACCATGGATTATTATTGTAATCCACAGCATAATTGGGTGCGGGGAAACAATGATTTTCCCACATCCTTCAATTATATGTATGAAAAAAATTATAAAACTAAATTTTAATTAGCTCGATATAAAAAAACTAACAAATATAATTTTGAAAAATAAAAAAATAAAATAGAAAAACTATATGGGAAAATACCATAAAAATCCATAGTATTTTTAAAAAAAATTACAAAGTGAAATTTTTAACCAATATAATATTTTAAAATTAAAATTAAAAAAAATAATTAAAAAATTAAAAAAAAACAAAAGAAAGTTGAAAAAAAAAATACTTAGGAGGAAAGTTGAAAAAAAATCGTTATGAATTACTATTATAATTCACAATATAATTATAATTGGATGTAAAAAAATAATAATTTAGCCGCATCTTTTAGTTATATATATATAATTTAACTACATTCATGTTTCTTATAAACTCCCAAAAATGTGTTTTTCTATATAAAAACAAAATCATATCTGTGCCCAGTGCTAATCAATTTACTGATCAGTGATTATCTATGTACAACATCTTTGCAAGCTTATATTTTCGTCGATTGGTCGCTGTGGCACATGTTTTATTTAAGGTATTGAAATATAAACGGTTGAATTTAAGAATTCGATTATAATCTTAAAAAAAAATGTTAGAAAAAGGTTAATAGTTAAAGACAAATTTTTTAAAAAAATTAAAAACTAAATCTTAAAAGAATTGAAATTTGAAAAGGCATCCTTTGAGATTTTAACCTTAAAATCCGGCTAAGGGATCAGCCGGATGTTCACATAAGTTTATAAAACATTTAAATTTATAGTATATAGTTTTTTACTATTTGATACCCATAACATAAATATGAATATTTTGAACATAGAGATTTAATATGTTCAATAATCCATAATTTTTATTATTTTTTTTAATAATAAAAATAATTTAATTCAAATAATGATTTAATAAAAAATTCTTCTTTTATTTATATTCACTGTCAAGACAATAACTTACAAAATCTACAAACGGAACACCATTATCGTGAAACTCTGACTTGCATTCAGAGCAATAAAGGCGATGTAGGATGGCCGTTTCAAGATGGTCCAGCAATCACACCCAACTGGGTCAAAAAGAATTAGCCAGTAATTCTGGGGACTCGGACTATCCATGATTTCTGACCAAAAGAAAAGTCTCTTTAGAAATTCCAGAGAAACGAATCTTCTTCTAAAACGCCATCGAGATTGACCCCCTCTCCATGATCAAGATTGGGTAAAAGTGATGGCGCAAAAAAGCCACTGTGAAGATCGTCAAAACCCGGAAATATCCCATACTCTTTGGGGTGATTACTCGA